TGTATCTTCTCTACCTTCCCCCCATCTCCGAGAGACTAGCAGATTAACTGCTCCCTCATCTGTGTTCCCATTTGACAATTTTGGCATTCATCATAGTTGCTTTATATGAATTTTAATAGGTGCCTGTGTCATCCTTCTGCATATGAGCCTCTTGAGGGCAGAGTCTTGGCACTATTAAGATAAACTATAAAGTGCTTGGAACAGAAATTGGCAGGATTGATAAATATAAATTCCTTTTCCTCTTCATTCACCTTTGTGTCCTATCACCTATAAACCACAGATAGTCAATAAATGTATGTTGACTCTAAATCCATAACTCGATACCCTATAATTATCTTGTTTACTAATACCCTATATTTATATTATACTTTACATCTTGCAAAGTATTGTATTCTGACGATCCATGGGGTATATTGTAGGTAAGTAGGACAAACGGAATCTCAGTTTGCCAAGGAGGAAGCCAAGGAAGGACCCAGAGAGCCCAGCTTGTGCTATTGATCAAGGCCACAGAGCTAAACCCAAATCCAGGCCTGACCCTAGATCTTACTGTATCTTGTTTTCTCTTAGGCAGGACTATCCCAGGCCACTAATGCCCCGCAGCCAGCCATTTGGCAGCAGTTTCTGCCCAGGCTCAGGGGAGTGTCAGGCTCTCATTAGGTCCCAATTTACACCTTTGTGTCTCTAGCCTTGACTCTGAGTTGCAGTCCCACTTCTTCAAAGACATTATGAATAAAGTTGCTTTTCTGCAGATAGTTCCCCTCAAAAAAGGATTTGGGGGACATATTTCTCCTTAAAAAACAAAACAACAAGCAGACCAGAAGAGAAAGAATAAAGGTGAGGCAGCTTGCTTAGTAACAACAGAGTGCCAATCAGGCCCAGGTTTCACATGGCGTTTTTTTTTTTTTTTTTTTCTTTTTGAAATAAAAACACAGCTGTCACAATGCAGCAGGGGTAGGAACCTACTCTATTTTTTTTCTTTGAGACAGAGTCTCACTCCGTTCCCCAGGCTAGAGTGAGTGCCGTGGCGTCAGCCTAGCTCACAGCAACCTCAAACTCCTGGGCTCAAGCGATCCTCCTGCCTTAGCCTCCCGAGTAGCTGGGACTACAGGAATGCACCACCATGCCCAGCTAATTTTTTATATATATATATATTTTTAGTTGTCCAGCTAATTTCTTTCTATTTTTTTAGTAGAGGTGGGGTCTCGCTCTTGCCTGATCAGGCCAGTCTCAAACTCCTGAGCTCAAACGATCCGCCTGCCTTGGCCTCCCAGTGTGCTAGGAGTACAGGCGTGAGCCACCGCACCTGGCCTGGAACCTACTCAAAATACCTCACTCTTTCACTCATTTAGAGGATGATGGTGACAAGGACAATAGGCACAAAGCATCAAATGATAACTCTCAAGCTCCATTTTAGCATGTGGATGGAAAGACAGTCCAGATTTACCCAAGGCCTATTGTGCCTGCGGATTCCATATGCATATTTTGCCTAATCCGCACACCCCCAATCAATCATACAGGTACTTCCTGGGTGCCTTCTATTATGTGCCTCACTTTGTGCAAGGTACCAGGGAAATAGTGGGAGAAAGGACAGGAATCTCTTTCCTGCTGGAGCTGCCCATCTGGTGCCCTGGCTCTCAACCTTTCTTCTACCCTAACACGCTCGAGGGGTACAGCGCAGTGTCAGTACCAGGGGCTCATTGTGCAGCGGTGTGCAGCTCAGGATACGCCCATGGCAGACTGGGAGTGGTGAGGGTTGTATGAGGTTTTGGATGTAGTTTGACAAAGTACCGCAAATGATTCTGATGTTTCCCTCTTCCACATGAATGCGGACATAGATTCAAAAAAGTTAAAAGACTCTTCTTAGACTCTTAGGTGCTGTGATGGGGAAGGAAGCACAGTGTTTGGAGCCAGCTGGAGGAGCACCTCCATCATCTCCATGGAGTTGGGTGGAGGTCACGGACAGCTTTCTGGAGGAAGTGACATACAATGAGAACTGAAAGAGCAGTAGGAGCTGTTTAGTCAGAGAAGGGGAATGGGGAAAGGATGAGTTGCTATGACAGCATTCTAGGAAGAGCCTATGCTAAAGCTCGGAGAAACAACAGGAGAATTTGGCATCATTAGAGGAAGTGAAAAAATTTGAGAGGCTGAAGGGTGGAGTGCAAGCAAGGGGAGCAGCTGGAGACTCAGAGGTGGGCCCCATCTCGAAGGGCTTTGTACCCCATGCCATGCTGCATTCTGAGGGCAACGAGAGATGCTTAAGGGGAATGATGGAGACACAGCTGCACGGTGGAGATTTTAGGAGCTAGAGACATAAGGAAGTTGATGGCCCAACCTACGTTTAGGAGTCTGCTGTTAATTTGATGGGTTGGGTGAGGAAAAGAGGAACGATAGCCAGGCTTTGACTAGCACAACTGGGTGGAGATATAAAGAGATGGAGCAGCCCCTTCATCAGAGATGGCTGGGAGACAAGACAACGAGCAGCTCAGCGTGGAACATTTAAGCTTGAGGTGTCCAAGTACGGATGTTCTGTATACAGCAGACACACAGGTCTAGAGCTCAGGAAAGAGACGTGAGCAGGAGCAGGAAGCTGTGGGTGGCTATAGGGCCATGGTGTGGGTATAATCACCTAGGGAAAGTGTGCTGAGTGATATGAGACTGGGCTCAGGAAGGAACTCTTTAAGAGATATGGGCATTTAAAGGACCAGAAAGGAAAACGCAGCAGAGGGGTGGCAGGTCAACCTTCATTCTACAGATGAGGAAACTGAGTCTTCGCCTCCACAGCTTGTCCGAGGCCATCCAGCTGGGATGGGGCAGAGCTGGGATTCAACCTGTCAGGTGTCTAGCTTCCAAATCATGTTTTGAATATACACAATTGTGGTTGTACAAACATGTATAACCTCTTCCCCCTAAACAATTGCTCATTTGAATTTCCCTTCCCAGATACTAATCACAATCTTCCCGAACTATAGAAAGTTTCCCTTCCCTGGTGCTCTCTTGTCTAGATGTTAATGATCATAGAGATAACGCAAGCAAAGGGGAAAGCAAAGACAGACCCATCTGACTTTGAATTTGGTTATCAGCTAATTCCGAACACCACCTCACCCCTAATTTACATGGGAAACCACTCAGTTCTTTAGGTTCCCTGTATGTTTCATGAGGAGAAAAGGAGCTGCCATTAATCAATGGCCTGAACTAGGAGTGATGTGCTATATAAAGTTTAATCATTAAACAAATTCATAAGATAAAGTTGCAAAGGTGAGGCAAAGCGAAATTAGCTTAAGTCACTTGAGTTTTCCTAAAGAGTCCCTCTTACATGAGAACACTAAAAAACACGCCATCTGACACCTGCTATGTTTAACCAGGACTAGGTTGATTGAAGTTGACACATAGCAGGGATGAAGGTCTTTGCCTTCCTGGTGTAACGTATGAGGTGAGCCTTAAGGTCCCCAGACCAGTCTTGCCTTTCCCCGCAGAGATAGTGCACCAAGAGAGGTTAAGAGGCTCTGGAGCCAGATTGCCTGCGTTCACACTCTCCCAGCTGGTGGACACACTGATTCTCAGAATGTTTCCTTATCTGTAAAATGGGGCTAACAGTACTCACCTCAGCCAGCTATTGTGAGAATTAAATGAGACGATGACTGGCAACGCCCAGCACAGAAGTGTCAATAATCATTAGCTATTATCACCACCTTGTTGTGTGTGTTAAGCTTTGCCCACGGATGGAATGGGGCACGACCCTAAGAGAACTGGTTCCTAAGGTTACCTTATAATGACCCTGAACGTAGGAGTTAGGGAGCAGTAAAGCAGGTAAGGCTAGAGTCAAACATTTTCCAGGAAGTAAAATTTTCCAAGAGGTAAAATGTACCAATTCGCAATATTCTCCTGCTTCACATTTGTCCTTAAGAGATTTCTAAGGAGCAGTAAGAAGACCTCACGAAACGGGTCCCCAGTAGGGAACAAGCTTCTTGTAATCACGTCCCTAAATACTGAGAAATGAGATCCCTAACAAGGTGCTGAGAAACCGTCCAGCCCTACATACTGCTGGGATTTCTTCTTATTCACCACCTGTTTTCCTGGGGTTGACGTAAGCTCGATCTGAACTAAGGACAGCAGCTGAGCACTTAGTGCGGTTCCCCACCCCTCCTGAAATTTTGGAAATCCATCTAACCGCGGGGCTACCTTTAAAACGAATTAGTTGTGGCTCCTAAGGAGCTTCCCGGGGAGAGCGTACGGCGACCTGGGACTGGGGCCCAAGGCACGCAGGCCAACAGTTCCCCGAGCCGCAACAGCGCCCACCCCTTTGCCTGAAATCCTGCAACGCCTTGCCGGGCAGCACCCAGTGCCCGACCCCGCGGCCCAGCAAAGCCTCTCCATGGAAAAAAAAAAAAAAAATAAAAAAATAAAATAAATAAATAAATAAATAAATAAAAGGAGGGAGAAGTTTAAGAAAGGAAGCCAGCCAGCCCTGCAAATGCAACCGTTGCAATTTGGGTCTCTTCTCTCTTCTGACGTAATGCCAGTTTCCTGCTTTCGCACCGCAGTGTACAGTTCTCTGGCTGGGAAGTCAGAAGATCAATCGACCGAACGCCAAGATAATCACTGCCATTATCTTGCAATTTATTTTCCACGAATACAGTTTAACCGGTCCAGTAACCCCGCCCCCAAATTCCACGACTTTTGGCTTTTCAGGAGGCATTGTTCTCCCCTCCCCCCAGGAAGGCCGCCTCTACGCACAGCCAGCACCAGGAAACGGCGTTGGCTTGCGGCTCAAATGAAGGGCTGGGGTGGGGTCGGTTCAAACCTTCTGCCCCCGGCTTTTTTGAGAGTTCCAAATCTCTGGCTTTGTCTTAAGCAAAAGTATCGTCGGAGTTGCAGCGTTTCCTCCCCCTTTCCAGAAACCGAGCGAGGAAGTGGGTAAAAGCCACCACGAAACGTGTATGGACGCTGCACCACGCCCAACACCCCACAGGGCCGGGGTGCACTGCGGACGCCCCGCCACCTCACGTGCGCTGCGCTAACTGCAGCCCCGCAGCACCGCAGCCACCGCCGCCCAGCCGAGCCCGGGGAGACTCCCAAGGGCTCTTTAAATACGATCTATAAATACTACGGGCGCTCGGCGCGCGCGTCACGACACATCCGGCTTCCGATTGGCCGGCATAACCCGGCTTATTTGCATATCCGATTGCACAACCGGGCGGTGACCTCAGCCTGTGTTCGCGCCCCGTCGCTCCTCCTCCTCCGCGGGCACGCTGGGCTGCGGGTGGGGACCTCGGGTGGCGGTGGTGGCGTCCTGAGTCGCTGGAACTCGGAAACCTTTTAAATCTACAGCCGCGCGGCGGTGCTCCGGGACGCCAACTGCCTTTCAGAAGGATCGGTTTTGGCCAGCCCAGGGCTGGCAGGTTTAATCTGGGTTTTTTTTGCTCTTTGCAAAAAGGAACCAAAGTTTTAAGGGTGACACCCGAGCAAAGGCTACAGGGTCTCGCAGAGGCTGAATTTAAACCACGTGAGACTTGGACACGGCTAGAATCCTGTCCAATAGCTTGCGACTTGGAGTGTTCAAAAAAGGCTTTTTTGCATGATCTCTAGTAAGACCTCGTTAGCTTGAAAACGAAACAGGGAGGGTTCGGAAAATGCAAGATGTGTGATGCCTCCTGGCTTAAGCCGAAGTTTTAAAAAAATGCACCAATTAGCTAACATGAAGCGGCGGCACGGAAACTTTCCCCATTGCCGTTCTTAGGGGTAGTCTCTTGTAGCAATCGAAAATGTTCAGATCCTTGACCTTGACCCGGGTGTTTCACTCTGGGGAGGGGTGGTGGCGGCGAAGGTCAGAGAGGGAGAGGAGAGAGCACGCTTTGGAATTAGGGAAGCAGCCCGACGTTGTGGAGGTTAGAGACACCGAGAATTCTGTCGCAAGGGGTGCCATTGATCGCGCGGTGGAAATATGCAGATATTGTTACATATTAGTATTCGGTTGTTACAAAATCATTTGTCTCTTTAGTATGTAAACTGAGAATACGGACCGTTTCTGCTGTTTGCGCCAGACATTCACTATGGTGAACTCTTTGCTTTTGAGTGGGATAAGTATTGTGACTTTTAATTTCTTCACTTTGTTTAAAACGTCCTGCCCTTAAAGCGTGCATGTCACATTCTAAGGCTTCAAGCCTTCCCCTAGCGATCCCCAGGATGACTCTTGTTATTTAAAGGCAATGCTTTAACCACTACTAACAGTTGGAGGCTTACGAATATGCTGTCCTAAAAGCTTTTTAAAAAGAACTTCGGATTTTAACAGAGGAGCTCCCCCTGCTGTCAAATGGTTTGTGGGCAATGGGCCTGAAACTTTTAAAACACCTGATGGGCCCACTGCGAAGCTGGAAAGGTGAATTTTAAGATTCTTCACTGAGAACATCTAAGTCACTTTGTAATTGTAGCCATTTTAATCATTACTGACAAGCAAGTGTGATCATTCAGTTGGGGATCCTACCTTAAGTATTTTTCTCATTTATAGCAATACAAATCAGTTTATCTTTTAAAATCAACCTCGATTTTATTAAAGCAAAGGATGGACTTGTTTGAGTCATTATTCCTTGCATTAATAGATACCAGGGTAAGAAAAATATTTTAATCATAGAAATACTTTCCCAATCATTTTAGCACTCTGTGGTTGAATCATCAAAATGGACTGATTTGAATGCAAGCTGCTTATAGTGGTCTTTCACCAGCCTCTCCCTTTTCAGCTTGTTTCCCTCTGCTTTAATCAGTGTTTCTAATTTCCCAGGCCAAGAATAAATGCACTTAAAACCGTGCCTTCTTGGTAATCCTCTTATTTTTCTTTTCCCTTAAGTTTTTTAGATGTTACATTCCTTTTGCTAATTAATTTCTTTGTCATCCTTATTAATTTTTTTGTTGTCTTTTACTATTTCTTTTAACAAAGATTTTTAACAAGTCCTGAGTAACTGTGTAAATTGAAAATTGCACATCTTGGCTGGCATTTCCATTGGTTTTCATATCTGTTCATCTTGAGGAGGAAAGAGCTATGTTCAGAGGTTGCCTGCTGGTACAGCTCTGAGTCACTAGGAGGTAAGAGGATAACTGGCAAACCACAAATGAAGAGATAAAGGAGGTGTATTTCCACTGTAAATGCTAATACGGGCATTTCAGCTGCATTTTTCACAATAAGCACTTTACCGTGCTTTATAGAAACATGCAGATAAGGATCACCAATTATTCTGTGATTCTCCATTCTCTCTCTCTGTTAACAGAGGCAGAAATGAAAATAAGAGTTGGTTATTATGCAGGAAAATGTATTTAGAAAAAGCTCCAGTACTCTGAGGGCTGGGGAGAGACTCTGTTCCTGCATTAGTCTGGGGTAAACAGGCCAACACTCTTAAAGAAGTGCTAAGTACTCCTGCTGCTCCGTGAATTAGGCCTATTATGGGGTAAGTTGTATCCTCCCCCCAATTCATATGTTGAAGTCCTAACCCCCTAGTACCTCAGAATGTGACTGTATTTGGGGATAGGACCTTTAAAGAGCTAATTAAGGTTAAATGAGGTCATTAGCGTAGGCCCTAATCCAATATGGCCAGTGTCCTTATAAGAAGAGCCCAGAACAGAGACATGTGCTTGCACAGAGGAAAGACCACATAAAGACACAGAGAGAAGGCAGCCATTTGCAAGAGGCTTCAGGAGAAACTAAGCCTGCTCACACCTAATCTTGTACTTGCAGCCTCCAGAACTATGAAAAAAATCAATTTCTGTTGTTTATGTCACCAAGTCTGTGGTACTTTGTTATAGCAGCCCTGGCAAACTAATACAGGCCCCCCCTTTCCCAGTGAATGGTCCAGGAACCACATCTTTTTCATATATATGGTCATAAGGTCACCACACCTCAAGCCAGCTCTAAAGGTGAAAAATGGATACTGGGTGTTGATGCCATCAGAATATGCCTGGCAGTGTATTTGCCTGTTTTTCCTATATTTAGTAGTAATTACCACTGTTCCACCTATAGACATTCACATATTTACTGTGCATGCACAGCAGGTAAAAATTTCAAGGCTTAAGGACAGATGAGCTATATGACAAAAGGCTTATGAATTGGCCCAGCTTCACTGCAGTTAGCTCTGCACATACATGAGGTCCTGGAGTGATTAGTAAATTAATCTGCAACAGACTGCAGTGCTGGCTTCAGGTGCGCTGACTGAGGGATAGCCTCAGTGACCAATGAGCTTGCTTTTCTTTCTAATAGGGAGATTATCTTATCCACAGGACGTGAATATGTATTGTTCGCTTTTGGCAAAAGCATGGAGCTCAAACTTGGTAAACTTGGGTCTTCTTTCTATATTGACATATGACTCGATTTTTGTATATGTTGTCTATTGAGCAGCTCATAAATTCTCGTTAAAATTCAAAACTATTTTTGTTTTTATAAAAATAAATTTACAACAAAATCCAGTTGACTTTTATTTTTAAAAATTACTCCTTCAAAATTATGCTTCCTCATGTGAACACACCTTCAAGTAATTCTGTTTTACAGATCAGACAGCCTGAAGAACATTATAGGTAGAAGAGTTATCATTAATGAAATTTTAGCACACCATCAGGGACCATAACAAGGTTTCTTGCAGTCCTTACAGTAATCTTACAAGTATTTCTATATGCAGTTTACAAATGAAGTAACTGATCCTTAGAGAGGTTATATAACTTGTTCAAAGTTAGTAGCAGAGCTGGATTTCAAGTAGAAGTCCATATAACTCCAGGTCTAACTCTCAGAAAATAGAGAATAATATTACAAACATATAAAATTAGAAATAAAAGCCATAGGCCTGAAACTAGCCACTTTATATGTTACCCTACAACATTACTTCCCAAATTATATATCAGAAAATGTTAGTTCCATATGATATGTATAAGTGGCATGAAGAAACAATAAAGGTTCCATGATCAAGTAAATTTTGGAAAAAATGGGTTAAACCAAAAATTTTGAACTGTAGAACTGCATAACACTAGTGGGAGCCATTCATACTGTAGTCATTGCAGATTTATATAGTTATTACGACAATTTTCCAGGAGATGGCAAAAAAGTGTCTTGAGTAGGGGAATTTTCTGTTTTGCACAGTGGTGCCATTTGGGCTATCACTGGGGCTAGAGATGGCAAGAGTATGAAACTCCTAACACAATTGAATACTGTCCTGTTTCATTCATTGCCAAATACCATCACTTTCTAGTGTTTTTGAGTTGATAGTTGTTTGTACCAGGTAGATATAAAAAATAGCTAATTATTTGTAGGGTGTTTTTTAAAATGCCCTGAACGATTACTTATATACATAAAAGATATGTTTGGAAAGTTAAAAGATTTTCTTGCTAGTAAGGGACTTCCCAAATACAGTATAAAGACATCGGAATAATAGAATATAAGATTATTTTTTAAATGAGCTAAGAACAAGCAGTTGGTTCAAGGAAAAACAGTTCAAATTTGTTTGCATGCGCCAATACATATGCACAAATAGATTAAATTTCTTGAGGGGAGAGACCTTATTTTTGTCTCTTGATCCTTGCCAAATGGCTGGCTACGGTAGACATTCATGTATTTATTTATTTATTTATTTTTCTGAGACAGAGTCTCACTGTGTTGCCCGGGCTAGAGTGCCGTGGCATCAGCCTAGCTCACAGCAACCTCAAACTCCTGGGCTCAACCAATGCTCCTGCCTCAGCCTCCCGAGTAGCTGGGACTACAGGC